CCCCACCAAAAAAAAAGAAAAGAAAAGAAAAAGAAAAAGAAAAATAACGTTCCTGTCAATGGAGGACAACGCCAACGAAATACGGTGTTGCTTTCAACTGACGATGGAAGTCGATCGAGAGGAGAAACATACATAAAGAAAAGAAAAAGAAAAAGAAAAGTAGCGTTCCTGTCAATGGAGGACAACGCCAACGAAATACGGTGTTGCTTTCAACTGACGATGGAAGTCGATCGAGAGGAGAAACATACATGTACTGGTGAGGGACAAGAGACCACGTTGGCGGCAAATTGCAGCCACTGGTTTTCAAATGCTCGTTAATTTCCTCGTCGATCCGAAGCTACGTACGTATGTATCTGCAGCAGGCCCAATAATTAAGACCACGTTGGCCTCATTTATTGTTCTTCATAATTCTAATCGCACCAATATTAGAGAGATGTTGTAATTATAAGAAAGGGAATATTGTGACAGCTCAGCAACTAAACGTCATCCCATGGAAACCGCGTTCGCATTCATTTATGGTAGGCGGCTCCTGCATCTTTTTATTTACATTTGGGCGCTCGCTCTAATTTAGTCAAGCCCAGCACGTGCCTTACTGGGCCGAAAGAAGTCGGGCGAAGGAAGCCCGTGGTCCGGTCGACTTGAGGACCCACCCAGGCCTTCGACCGACATGCCCGTAGTTGGAGTTGGCCTCACTCAGAAAATTCAATTCAAATTAAAAAAAAAGAAAGTAGCTAGGAAAGCGGCACCAAGACGACTCGTCGTTGACCCCACTCACATAACATAAACATCGAGGAAGTTACAGAGAAGAAGCGGCAACAGGCAAAAACGACAACCGCGTGGTCAATCCGATCCAACTCCCCCCAACTCTGACTCCGGCTCTCTCTATATATACACATATATTCTCCTCGATCCGAGTCCAATTCATTGCATACACACACACACCCCATCATCATCATCATCTTCTTCTTCTTCTCGTACGCTTCTTATATATATATAATTTCTTATTATATATTGATCTCTCTCATTAATTAGTTTTTAATCGACCAACCAACTAATGGCTGCTCGCTCGATGGTTGTGATGGTGGAAGAAGCGGAGGTAACAGCGTGGATGACCGGAGGAGACTGCGCCACGCCAACGGCGATGGAGTGCAGGATTCCAGAGCCCATGACTTGTCCTCCTGCTCCGAAGAAGCAAAGGCTTGCTGCTGCTTCTGTCGATTCTCCAGCCAACACTAGCGCTACTACTAAGAAGAAGAAGAATAAGAAGTTCTTCAACCCCCCGAATCTCGAGGCCGCCTTTGCCGCCGCCGCTGCTTCCGCTCCTCTCCAGCAGGTCTACTAATTAGTTAACAGCATCGTCGAGGCACAGCGGCGATGCAGAGCGCATGAGGAACCAATTGTAATTACAGTAGTAGCAGCCACGCACGATTTATATTCTAGATTTGTTTATTAGCAGAGTATTTACTTGAAACAATATATAGATATGTATTTTCTACCAGCTACCATGTGTTATCGTAATTTTTAAGTAACCAGAAGTTTCGGTCCTTCAATTTCTTCGTTAATCGCGCGGTATCACTGCTGGTTTGAACAGAGTACTTGGTTCGAATTATTATTATAGATGATGGCAAGATGCCCAGAGTCCTTAAGAAGTACTAAGCTACTCCGCCGTCAAGTTTGAACAGAGAGCTTGTTTCTCTCGCTGATCAAACAGGGGCAACGTTACTCTCCACGGGTGAAGTCCGGCCCCACACGTACATGGTCGGTGGATGTTAAATAAATATTTGGTTCACATGCGTGCTCAGCAACTCAAGGATCAACAAGGAAAAACCCCCCAACCCCCAAGCTCCTCAATCACCTCTTCAGGCTCTTAATTAATTATTCTTACAAATTGACCGCATAAATAAATGCTTGACCGGTCCTCAAGAGGCACACGCACCTCTTGCCCATTAATTGTGGATCATTGCCGTGACTTAATAAGGGGTTTGATAAACAAAACCCCTGGGCGGAAAAATAAAAAAAGCCTCACTAAAACACAGACTCGGACTGATTAGACTCTAGAGAGGAGCGAATTGAACGAGGCTTTTAGTTTTAGGTAGCTCAAAAAAGAATCACGCCCACATGCAAACAAAACTGTCAACTCTGCTTCAAAAGGTTTTAAGGATAACTTCGCATATATAAACCAAAGGAAAGGGAATATATATTTTTTTAACTTTTACAGAATCAGGATGAAGCCAGCTTTTAAGTGCACGCTACCCCTCAAGACGCAAAAGTCCCAATTATATCACGTGACAAGTTACCGCCGTAAAATTCCCAATTCAAGACGCAAAGCGGCCTACACCGAGATTGGAGTCGTTGGAAAGCATCATTTCGTTTGCGTCCAAGCTTACGCCTGTATTTAGGAGAGTTTGGACCACTCTGCCCATGCTGTTTTCAGCTGGACCTCATCTTCTCTGTTTCCATCATTCTCTCTTTAACAACGGACCAGGATATCTGTACTATATCTTTTCATATGAAATCCGGACAAGAAATTCATGTGCTTAGCTAAATGCCGGCCCATCACCGCGCGCCTAGTTCGAATGGTTACCAAAAAGTTAAAATGAACTTCCATCAAATGAAAGAACCAGCACACATGCCATATGTATCATAATTAAAGGAAGGGAGAATAAGCACGCACGCACGCACACACAAAAACGCGCACGCGCGCGCACTCGGGTACACACACACATGATTCTTTGTAAGTACACTCTTTTTATACACCGGAAATTACCAAAACCAATAAGAGCGGCCACATGATAACTAATTGGCCGACCCATCTGCAAGCATAACCTAGGTGATGAGCCGGACGACTCGCCTCATCATCTAGATCTAAGGCGAAAGGCACTCCCAACCTGGATCTCGCAGGATGTCCAGCTCCGAGATGAAAGATGTTCTCCACTCGGACCAAACACAAGGCGTATCGAACAGTAGAACGGCCCAACAAGCGTCATCAAAAGTCACATTGCACAGTCTACGCCCGCATTTCGCCGCCCAGTTGCCATCATGCGATTAATTTGGCGTCAGTCATTACGACCTTTCGAGCCAGAGCCTTCAAAGCTCCTCGGACACGTCATTACTCCAACAGTCCCTCCGCAGTGCAGAGGCGACTCGGTCAATCAGCTGCCGGCACATGTAAAGTAGGGTCTGAACCAATACTACACACTCGGCTGAAATTACCTACGTGCCCCCATAAACCCTCTATAAATAATGACGATTTCCACTAAACCTAGGTACGTATTGTTACACATAAAAGTCAACAGGACTATACTTTGTTTTTGTCTTCAAATTAACTATAAACAGTCAATGACTTGAGCGTTGGAGGGCACGCCGGAGGAAACAACCTCCAGCGCCTCTAATATCTGTTATCTGTGTAGTGATGAACAGCGCGATATCTAAAGCGGGAGATTCAACCATCAAAGGCGATTAAGGGACCCCAAAAATTTGAGTTTAACCCCTCCTAAATCATGTATCAACATCGCGACGTAAACAGCTCTCAATCCTAAGCTCCCATGTAGAAATGCTTACTGCGCTACAGCTCTTTCTGTGCGTGCGTGTACCTATATTTATATATAGTGGTAGTGTCATATATCATATATAAGTAAGAAACAACTACACAGGTGTCCTTCTAAGTAAACTCTAAACTGTAAGCTCCAATGCACAAATGTTTCCTGCGCTACAACTCTGACAAATCCAAAAAAAAACATTGCATGATAGTATGCTGATCTGGATAGTGGAAGCATGTGATTATTTCAGACTTGCTAGAAGCATTGTGCGTGCATGACAATCTTTAAAATAACATGCTTCACCTGAGATATATCCCGAAACTTAAACAGTAACGAAGAATGCAAGGTTCGATCAGCCATTGCCTGAAACCATTGGTAATTAGATGCATAAAGAGCTAATTCCAGTCTCATTTCTACAGAATGCAACTAAGTTGTTTTGTCAACGATTTGCTTCTATAATCCATTCACCAGTCTGCTCTATGGTTAAGATCCCATTTTGCTGATACTTGGGAATGGTTGATAATCAAAATGCACCACGGAGAAATTTTCGATACACTCTTTTACTAACCTCTCAGAATTTAATAATGATATGGAGTTTGCTACAAAAACATGGCAGATGATAGGAACTAAGACACCAGAGGTCTACAAAAATGAGCACTTAAAGAAAATGAAGGTAAAGAAAGTATAAACCTTGGCGGACTAAATCTATAATTCACCAGAATTACGTCTTCTCCAAGGTCTTATTTTGCTCATGCTGATTTCCAACAGTCATCGTTGCATCTGGACTACGTTTTGCATCTTCTGTAGTGGTAGAAGGGGGTCGATAAGGCAGTGGCACTGGGAACCCTGTTCCCGGGATTCCAAACATCTGGAAGTTGTTAGATCCAGCTGGCGACGGATGCACACCCTGCGACCCTGGAATTGAGGAGCAAGGGAACTGTGGCCCTTGCACTGGAATAAAGGAGCACCCCCGAGACACATTCACATCATACATTCCCATCCCATAGCTTAATCCCATACCCATTCCCATTCCTATGCCCATTGGCGCCATTGTAGGAGCTCGCATATGTTGCATCATCATTGGAGGCATGCATAAGCCACTCCTCATAGCCATGATCTGTGCATGTGTAGGAATTTGTCAGGTGACTGGACAATTCTGAGAGATTTAAACAAGGAAACCATCATAGAAGATTGTATGTTTTTGTCACCTGCAGTTGCATCTGAAGGGACTTGAGGTACTCTATAGCCTCATCAAGCATTGAAGCTTTATCCGTCTAAAATCACAGTAATTCCTAAATAACCAATCTCTTTCACATTGTAAACTTCACTAAAAGATGAACAGTAACAGGAGGAATGTACCTTATTGCAATTGGGTATAAGCTCTTGAAGTGCACGCATCCTCTCATTGATCCTATCTCTTCGCCTCTATTCACAATTGTACAGATGAAATTAGTCATGCGCATAATTTCAAAACAGATGCAAGTTGAAAAGGTTTAAAAAAAATGAGTAATGTGCTAACTTTTTCTGATAAATTATGTACTTCCGCAGCACGACTTCGCTTTTTGCTCTTGCCTTGAACAGGAAGGGATTTCTTTAGCTCGATGGACTCATATTCAAGGTCCTATTTTATTTTAAAGTTAAAGACGTCAGGTAAAGGATTTCTACCCTATCTATTAAAACAAAGACAATAATTCGCAGTGGGTCAATTTACTACTCACTTCGCTATGGTAACCAGATTCTTCTCCTTCTTGATGCTTCCTCTTCCCTCTGTGTTTGTTATCATTAGACTCTGCATCCTCACTGCTGCTCAAAGATGCGCATGAAGAAACCACAACTGCTTCATTACGCTTCTCAGGCAAGGCCGCACTGGCTGCAAAGCTCGAGCTCTGAACTCTCTCTGGTGATCTACTGTCAGCGTTACCAGTGTTATATTTGTTATTTTTCCTTGAACTTTCTCCTTCACAAATGACCTTGGACTCGTCGACTGTTATCCCCTCCTTCGGAGGTTTGGGTAACGACATCAAGCCTGTATTGGCTTGAACCAAAGACAGTTGGTCCTGAGCCCCGAGAGCACCCCTCAACCCACTCGTAGACCCAATCACAGGCGACTCCACTGGGTTGCTACAGGCAGCAAATGTCGTTTTATTGCGAAGTTCCTGCTTGGCATCACCTTGGTGATTTGCCCTAACAAGAGTAACAGGTCTAAAGAAATGGCTAAAGTCCCCATGCCAAGATCCGTTTCACTTGACTTGGAACATGGAGTTGAACTGTTCAATTGTGTTGGCAACTGAAGTGGCCGGCTTTCCCTAATTCTACTGCTTGCTGAGGCGTGCCCTTGTTGGGTGTTATGGGAATCTCTACCTACTTGGTCCGAGAACCCGGTCCTCACAGCTGGCACAACAGATGTTTGCGAACGAACAGAACTCAAATCAACCCCAGAGTAGTCACTTAAGAACTCCGAGCAGTAATCATTATCTATAGGATCTTCCATCGGGTAGTTTATCCACGGGACCATATCATCATAATGAGCATTGATTCCGAAGCTCGACGAAGGTCCACAGGTTGCGAAGTTGTTTGCCTTAGATTCTGATGATACCTTAAAATGTCCTATCTTCGGAAAGGGGTTATCTTTGGTATCCTTGTCGGAGACTCGAATTCCGGAGGGGTTCGACGCGGTAAACACGGAGCTCTTTCGGGGGCGACTAGACGGTCCTTGCATAACGGGGCCATTATCCCACAGCAGCTCGACAAATTCATCATGCCTTCAGTAAGCAAGCAAGCAAGTAAGTAAAAAACATCATGAGGACACCTTGGAGTGAACATTACCGGACTCAACTGAGAAGTTTCGTCCTGAATCAGCAGCAAGCAAAAAAAAACTTACATGCAAGGTAAATCAGATGGGTAATTGGCCATCGAATTTGATCGATGTTGAGGGCTCAGGGAGAGGCATGAGGGTACTTAGGCTTCAACCGAAGCAAGAAGTCTTTGAGGCACGGAAGCCCCCGCATTATGCTCTCAAAGGCTGCAAAACGCTCGTCGTAGGAACCGCAGACAGATGCACCAGGGAAAACAACTCGAGAGCTCAGAATGTCTAGCACGATCTCTTCCGGATTAAAAAAAAAAAACTTAAAAAAGTAAAAAAAGTTTTTTTTTTCTTTTTAAAAAAATAAATAATAATTAAAAAGAGGTCGTTAGGACCTACGAGAATGAAAGGTTTAAATAGAGCTAAACGTGTGATGAATCTACGAAATGATTAATCTAAAAAAATCCAATCTTTTTCCAGTTTGGCATCAAAGAAATAGGAAACCCATCAAAAAAATCTACCCTAACTTTCAGCAGCCCCCCAGAATCACCATCGCAGAAGCCGCTGCGTGTACCTTCTTCACCAACGCCAAACATATATATGTTTTTGTTCGCAGGAGACGTACCCCAATTAACTCCGGCCACCGAAGAGGAATATCTGCCAAGATCCAATCTTTCTCCTCTCAGCAGCCCGCAAACAATGAACCCATGAAGATAACGCTCCGATCCCCCCCGAAAGAAGAGAAATATCCTGCTTGATTGGACTCCAACCAAGCAGGATAAGTTTCTGCCACAACTTTTCCCCCCACCCCCTTTTCTCTTTTTTTTCCCCACCCCCCCTGGTCGGTTTCGGTGAGAAACGGTTCGGACAGTAGAAATGGAGGAGCTTTTGATGTGTCCCGAGGAGGAGAGTGGAGGACGGAAGAAGGCTACAATGAGTGAGAGCAGTAGCGCAAAAAGACAGCCGAAAAAAAAAAGACTCGATCGGTGATCATCGGTGACCAGCTCGGGCTCCATCCCCATAAATAATAGAGGTGGGGGGTCCTAATTGGGGGCGGGACCCGTAACAGCTAAACTCATCCAGTGGCCAGCGTTAGTTTGCCTTCGCATATTTGCTCCCCAATTCCTCGCAGCTTTAACATTTGATGTCAATTTGATGATACTTATCTTTATTATTATCACCCCCGCTCCTAATTATAGTATTTGATTGTGCTCGATCACTCGACCCTGCGCCCATCATTGGCTCGATCTCCTAGTTAAAGCCATGTGGTTCGGCTTGGTTCATACGGATGATGATTGGCTCCCCATTAATTAATTTATCGGGAGGATCTGATTGGTAATATTAATTAAGTTAGTAGGATAATGGTTGTTGTTTCGTTTTGTGGCTCACGACATGCAACAGGACCCTTTTATTACGCCTGACCTCTCACGGTCACTGCGTCCGCTCGCTTGTTGAAACACCAAGCGCAAAGGGGGCGTTTGGTAAAAAGTTTTTACCTTGGAATGGGGGCGGAAAGCTGCCAATGTGGTAGCTTTCCGCCCCCCTTCCAAGGCAAAAACAGTAAAACAAACACGCCCAAATAGACCCTCTATAGTTGTAGTTCTACTTGCAGCGAATAGGCCCCTTGTAGTATTAGCCCAAGGGCGAATACACGCTCTTTTAGTGGACTTTTTTACCCCACCAATGGAACTATGGGTTGGGAGGGGGTCTATATATCCGCCTCTCCAAATTTGATGGAGGAGTCGGGGGCGTGAGGCACGTGTCCGTGTGTCCAGCGGTGGTGGAGTCGTACGTGGGCTCATATCTAAGGCTGAGGATCAACAGGCCAGGGACAGAGGATGAGCCCTCCCTGTATCTCTCCTCGATCCTCCTCCTCCTCCCGGCCACATACATTATCGATCATGATATGTTGATATTGATACCACGTTTCCTCCTCTTTCTTTTTGTTAAAGGAGATGCAATATGTGATAAAGACACATGTGTTGTTGATGTAGGGACCAAAAAAATAATGATGATAACGATAGAGAATACTCTCCAGTGATAACATGCATGCATCTAGCTACATGGAGCAGAAGAACCAGTAGTGGGGCTTTTACCTGCAATATGTGGTTGGTTTTCGTCGCCTCACTGGCTCTTCGGAACATGCCATGTCCATAACAAAGGCCTGGGCCTGATGAGTTTCTCACCCGTGGCAATAATTATTTCTGGGTGAAGAAAGACTAGCTAGCTGTTCTTGCTTCTCAAGCACGCTCGCATCTATATAGGTGTTGCATGAACTAATTAAGGGTCTTGCACTACCTAATTTAATGTACTTCATCAATATATATATGAATATGAACAGATAAAATGGGTGGGTGAAATTTTTCGACACTTTTAATTTAGACTGACCACCGATTATAGTAGTAATGAGCAATTCTGCATGCCAAAATTTCATCCACCATATATTATATAACACAGTCAAATTAAAAGATTTCACTAGGGATCTATCTGACAAAGCCAAACTACAAATTAGGTACATATTTTAAACAATGCAATGTAAGGTTTAATGTGCTAATTAACCCAGTCGAACAATTGGTACTTGCATAAATTGTTGGATTTTTTGGTCAAAGCTTTCCAAAATGAATTTTCAAACTATATATATTAACTACAAATACTTTTCATAAATGCTTAGTAGCCTAGTGGAAAGTTTATGTTTTGGTGTTTCAAAAGGTCCCTCTTGTTCGAGGCTTGCCAACGGACAATTAAACCCGTAACCTTAACAATTAAACCCGTAACCTTAACAACAAATCCGTAACCTACACAACAAACCCGTAACCTTAACAACCAACCCGTAACCTTAATAATCAATACATAACCTTTACAACCAACCATTATCCTTAACAACGAATATTCTAAAAATACAAAAATAATAAAATAATAATACTCTTCAATCATTTCAATATCATCAAAGTAACATCATGATATATATATATATATATATATATATATATATATATATATATATATATATATATATATATAGATAGATAGATAGAGAGAGAGAGAGAGAGGATGCATAACCTTAACAATTGACCCGTAACATTAACAATTAACTCGTAACCTTAATAATTAACCCGTAACTTTAACAATCTCCCAATACAAACAACGAAAATAATAAAAAATAAAAATAATAAAATAATCCTCATCAATCATTTCAACTATCATCTCAGTACATCATGATAAAGAGAGAGAGAGAAAACGAAAATAATAAAATAATCCTCATCATATTTTAATAAAAAAAGAAAGAGAGGAAGAAGGGTATTATAGTCTTCACATATTTTAATCTCTTGAGTTTTGTGTTTTGGGGGCTCAGAGAACAGAATCTTTATTTTTTGGGGCAAAACACCCGTTAACAAAGTCTTAGGGGTGGGAAGCACGTTTTCTTGGTTTTTGGGGGCTGGAAGCTTATTATATTTAGTTTTTGTAGAGTTCCATGAGGCATAGCACCTTCACGGACATCCCTTAACTTTGCATTTCACAATGATTCTAGCCCCCTCATTCTTCAGATAATTAACTTCAAATCCCCTCACACTTGTTGAAAATCTAATTAGGGTCCTAATTAAACTCAATAGGGCTGGCAAACTCCATGCCACTGTCTAGCTTAATTGGGATTACTTAAGTCAAATCCCTCTTTAGACTATTCCCATTTGGGTTTGTTAGCATCTTTACCTTCTTCCTCATTAGATGGCAGGCTCAACAAATCATCACTATCATCCATATCTGGACATCCCTCCCTAGTAAGAATTGCTTCTTGTCCTCCAATTGTATTAACAGCGGGATCATCATCCCCATTTGAACTACAACATGTTTATTCATCATTTGTATCAGTGCCCCTCCCTCCCACTTCATGTTCCTCACTTAAACTCTCAAAGTCTTCATTCCTCACATCAAAGTCCACATCATCATCATTGTAGAATTGGCAGAAAGTTCGGGTTTCAGCAGAATTGGGTGGCGGTCGACCGGCCCGGTCGACCACATTCATGCACAGGAGTTATTGGGCTTCAGGATTGGTGGCGGTCGACCGATCCGGTCGACCGAATCTATGGGCGGTCGACCGTGTCGGTCGACCGACGACCTCTCTGGACATTGGGTTTGCTGCTGGATGGAGGGCGGTCGACCGGTCCAGTCGACCGCGATGGATCGCGGTCGACCGTACCGGTCGACCGCCGCTGCGGTTTTGAGTTGGGTCTGTTTTCAACCCGCTTCGTTTTGGATTTCTAATAGTGAAAACTCCCCCCTCCTTGCCCCGTGGACGTAGGCATCTTGCCGAACCACGTAAAACTGGTGTTTGGTTGTTTGTGCTGTTGATTTTGGTTGGTTGTTTATCTTTCTCGGCGATTGTTTTGGTTTCTCGAGGCGCAACAATTGGTATCAGAGATCCGGGCTACGCTTGGGCTATTTTGGAGGAGTATATCGTTTTGGAAGTTCATCTAGGGCTTCGTTTGGTGATAAAGGTGGGATCTTTTCAGTAAAAATCTCGTCTTTTTCAATTTGGATCTATTTCTCGTTTGTTTCCGCATTGGTTTGGTGGTGCTTTGAGATATATGGCTGAAAAAGATAAAAGTGGGGAGGGTTCTTCTGGTGTGAAGGCCGTCCAAAGTTTGAATATACATTCTATGAAAATAGATGTGGAAAAGTTCAACGGCACAAATAATTTTGGACTTTGGCGATGCGAAGTCATGGATGCGCTAAATGCGCAAAATTTGGAAGATACATTGGAGTTGGATGGGAAACCGGCCGACATTGATGAAAAGGTTTGGAATAAAATGAATAGAACGGCGTGTGGTGTGATTAGGTCTTGCCTTACCCAAGACCTTAAATATGATGTGATGAATGAAACTTCGGCAAAGAAGATTTGGGAGGTCCTAGAGGGCAAATATTTGACGAAGAGCATCGAAAATCGTTTGCATTTGAAGAGGAGGCTTTATCGCTTCCAATTGAAGAAGGGGACATCCATTAGTGATCACTCACATGAACCACTATACGAAGCTACTTGCAGATTTGGCGAATGTAGATGTCAAGGTTGAAGACGAGGACAAGGCATTGTTGTTATTGAGTTCCTTGCCCGACGAGGAATATGAGACCTTCGTCCTCACTCTTATTAATGGAAAGGCATCACTTTCGTATAGTGAGGTCACCGCAGCCCTTGTGAATTATCAACTTCGAAAGAAGGACAAGGAGACTTCCATCGAGCCGGTTGCTGGTGCATTGGTTGCAAGAGCTAGAAGTCCAAACCGTGGAAGAAGGTCGCAGTCTAGAGTGGGGCATCCTGCAGTTGGTAGGAATCAGTGTGCCTTTTGTAGAGAGGATGGACATTGGAAAGCCGAATGCCCAAAATTGCAAGCCGTGAAGAATAAAGGGAAAGCTATTCAAGCTTCAGAGGTGAATATTGCCAAGGCTAGTGGCGATGTTTCAGATTCAGATTCAGATTCTTCGGGCTATTCGTGCCCAGCTCTTCCGTCAGTTGATGTTGCCGACTCCACCGAGTGGATGTTGGATTCTGGTGCTACTTACCACATATGCCCTAGAAGGGATTGGTTCTCCAGCTTTCAGGAGTTGGAAAGAGGGGATGCTGTTCTCATGGGTAATGATCACAGATGCCCTATTGGTGGTATTGGTACCGTTCGGATTCGGATGAGTGACGGGATGATCCGGGAGTTGGCTGATGTGAGGTTCGTTCCTCAACTGAGGAAGAACATCATTTCACTTGGGGTATTGGAGGCATCAGGCTATAGGGTGATCTTGGCGGATTCTCGCTTGAAGGTCACATCGGGGTCCATAATTGTGATGAAGGGAGTCAGGCGGAGTAACTTGTATTATCTACTTGGGAGCACGGTAGTTGATAGGGCGCTGACTACTTCTATGGCTAGACTGTGGCATTGTTTGGTGCTGGGATATATTGTTGGTTATACCGTGCACAGATTGTTGAGGAGTGCTATGACCTGCAGATTGAA